TGTAGTGTTACAGATTCTTTCTTTTAATGTGGAAGAGCAGTGTTGGCATTTATTTGTGTTAGCAGTGTGACCTCCCTCTGACCTGAAATGTCTCCCTGCACAGAGCCATGAAGGCCATAACACATAATACTGTCTTTATTAAGAATGGATTATAATTTCATTTCATCCTGGCTGGAGCTGTGCTTACGGTAGGATGATGTTGAGGTGTGTCTTAATGCATGGCTTGTTTGGCCCTCAGCCGGGAAAAGAATCTGCTGCTTGTGCAGCAGATACCACATAAGGAAGGCTCCCCAGTGCTGTGATATCATGTTGAATAAATAAGAACCTCACTTCTCTCTTCTCCAGTTTTTCTCATAGCTCTGCTTTCTGTTAGCTTCTGGTCATTGCAAAGCAAACCTTGTCTGCTAGTCTTCCCTTGTCTTCCCTTTTAAGACCAGCCACGTGCTGACAGGTCTTCCTGCTCCTTCCACAGAGCTCACCTGCCTGGGCAGCTGCCTCTGCTGCTCCTCAAATTAACCCTTCATTCTTAGCAAGCATTAGTACAAGCTTGAGTGGGAGGAAAGTTGAAGTTACTCATTTGTGTGGGGCTTTTGTAATTACCTTGCTGAGTGTCCACTGAAAGGATTTCTCATGTTGCTGAGGTTTTCCTCTGTAATGATTTGTTATGTGACTTAGAACATTAGGTGGGATAATTAAAGCCCACCACCTGCTTAACTCATCAAGGAAGCCTGGGTGATGCACTTAATTGTACAGCAGCTGTTACCTGGCTGCAGACAGTTCAGACTTGATGAAAACACATGGTATGAAGTCTTGATGAATTGTCTCTGGGGTTCAGCAGACATCTTCACCAGCTATTTCACAGCAGCAATCTTACTTTTGGCATGAGTTTAGTTTTCTGTATTTTCTTTTTGTTCCAGGAAGAACAAATTCTGCTTGCTTGATCTAACGTGCAAGGGACTGCATTTAGTTCTCTTTACAGTCTTCTGTAATGAATGGGATAAGAGGAATGTCTCCCTAACCATCCTCCTGGCAGGAGGAGATGGTATCCAGTTCATCTAGAATGTGCGAATGGTATCTGTTACGTTGCTGGAACCTTGTGTGGACTTCCTCTTTCTATTCTTATCTCCCTAGACACAAAGCTTAGGCTTTAAGGGAGTGATACAACCTCTTAACCAGGATGACAAAGTGTGTGGCATTTTAAAATGTTTATATTCCTGTAGATGGCTGCTTATTTTTAGCAGTGTAGTTTCTGTGAGTGAATGAGTCATGTTGGTCTACATGTTTTGCAGTAACTTGAACATCAGCTTCTCAAAACTAGAATGAGAATCCTGAAAGTTTGTCTTGTTTGTTTTTTTTCCATTTGTTTCATTATTTTTCTTTAGCGGTTGGTGTTGAAAAGTCACTTCTATCTTTGGCAAATGAGAATATGTGGAACCATCTTGAATTCTCTTGTATGGGAATGAATGGGCCAAGCTTTAATTGTTGATCTAGGAGGTGAACAGGAGATGGGAGAGCTCAGTGCCTTCAGAACTGGAAGGTCTACAGTTATAACAGGGTCTTTACCTTAGATGTTTGAGAACTGAGAAATGGAAGTACCCTTTCTCAGGAAGTGGTAGTGACAGCTCATGGGGATGTCAGTCCTTGCTTCAAGAGAAGTGTGCCTGTGTGCCATGGCTTTGCCATGGATAAGCTCTGTCCTGGCGCATAGCCAGCCACTATTTTCTCATCTGGTTTTGGAACACAGCAAGTGAGAACAGAAATTCATCTCTGAGCTTGTAAATTGAGGTATCCTGCTTCTGGCCTTGCTGCAGTTTTTAACTGTTCATCTGAAATTGGAATGTGCACAGTGACTGAGCCAAGATTGGATTACAAGTTCTAGGACTAGAAAGAATTGTGAAAGGAGTATCGGCATTTAATGTATGTGGCATTTAATAAGCATAAGAATCTTGATTAGGCAATTATCTTTTTCTTGTATTTTAACTACCAACATTTGCAGAATTTTCCTTTTGTTGTCATCATTCTCTCTGCAATTGCTTTTGAACAACAGTGGGCTTTTGTTTGTAGTTCTTAAGAGTTGCATGGATATGAAGTTTTGCCAATCATGTAACTGAAAAATGATGATATCTGATTGAGAAAGAACACATGAGTAGCTGTTAAAGCACTGCTTCAGTGATGGGTGGTGAAGTAGCCTGTGTCTTGGTCACAGTTCTCACAGGATGACAGCTTGCTTAGGAATACGCCGGCTTTCTTCACCATTTAGAGGTGTGAGGCTTTTATTGTAAGGTAAGGAGGGGTGTCAGTGCTTTATTAGGATTTACGTGCTGTTAGCAAAGCATGGGTTTCTTAGTCTTGGGCATTATTATGAATAAAGTTGACTCATGCTTTGGAAAAGTGTAATGAACTTAGGGAGGTGTGAGGAAACGTGATAATTCCTTGCTTCTGACTTTTATTTAGGGGAAAGAATGAACTCAAGTATTTACCTGTAGATTCTTTGTAGTGGTATAATTACATTGCAGGCATTTGGGGTGGGGAGGAGAGGGCGAGATACAGCTAATCCATATTTGATCACAAGAGACAAAATTGTTAGTAAAGACGAGTGACCTGTATTCTGTTTTCTCATGGAGTTTGATTTTATGTAAGCAGTAGTGTAGGAGTATGTTGAATAGGTGAGAGCCAAGATGCATAGTTTGTGGATGTGAAGGCTGCTGACTTCTCTCCCACATAGCTAAAATGTGATTAATGAAAGGCTTGCATAACCTGTGTTACTGAGATGGGGGAAAATCAGATTGGATGCATGTGGCTGTGTTGCAAGGTGTGGGTTGCTGGGAAAAGTATGAAGGGCTACATCTGGGTGTGCTTGGGCCAGATCCTGAGAAGCATAGCCTGGTTTGAACGTGTCCCCAGCCTGAAGAGAGGAGGCTGGTCTAAAGGCACTGGACAAGTCAGTGGAAGGAATTAGAAAGAACGTGTATCACCACATGCTGTTCTCATTCATATTTGATGCTTCCTGGTATTTCCCCACAGTGTGGAGGCTGTTGTTAGCCAGGTTTTTTGCTAATCCATTAATCCCTACGAGGAGCAGCTTCGTCTAAAGCAACCCCAGGAACTCTACTCACCCTAGGCTACAGAAGCAAAGGACATGCAGGTGCCAGGCCTGCCTGTTGTGTACGTCCACCTTTCTGCTCTGCTCCAGCTTCCAGAGAGAAATACGGAATTTGTTTCCAATTTAATCTCTTCCAGGGAATGGTTGTTGTAACAAGAGTTGTGGTTTCCAAGACTCTGCTTAAAAATTACTACTTCCAGCTGCAGAGTTAATTAGGTAGTCACTGTTAGGCCTGCCTTCATAATACCTTTTTACACTCACCTGTCCCACCCAGTTTTAGGAGTAACCTGTTTAACAGATCATGGCTTGTGAGCCATGACTGGAAGCTCCTTTTTGTTATGTGTGTATGTTATTTATTTTTACTGAGAACATCTTTCTCAGATTCCTCAAGAACGATCTATACTGTAATTATTTCCCTGCAAATCCTGGATGTAGAATTCGGGCTTTCTTTAGGTAATGGTCTGAAATTATAACTACAAATTGTAAGGCACAGTAGAACATATCAGTGGTGCTTTGGCTTTTCTTCAAAATCGGTTAGCTATTGTCAATGAAACTAGTAAAATACTAGTTCTTCCCTTAGGTGTCATTGTTTTTATTTTGCTGTGGGATGGAATAATTGCTTGTTGCCATGGGCTATAGAAAGCATGAGTTTAAGACTGAACTGAAACTTGAGTTTCAAATAGACCATATATTATCATTATGTTTCCCTCCAGAATTATAACTGTTCGCTGGAGTAAGCTGAAGAGAATTTTTGTGCCTATTGTGAGTTGCCTTTTGAGCAGAGAACAGAAGATGCTCGAAGTAGGAGCTGGTGCTTAGCAGACTGCCTGCCTGGCCGGACTGCCTTGGGACTTGGAAACCAGTTCTTGAAATGCTGTGCCTACTTGAAAGTGTGCCTGCTTGCTGTCAAAATACTTTTTTTAAAATGGATTTAACAGCTAATGGGGCAGTAGACCACGTGAGGTCCATCTCTTGGGTTCATCACAGGGGGTTGGAAGGGACTTCTGGAGATAATCAAGCCCAACCCCTTGCTAAAGCAGGTTCCCTGCTGTAGGTGACATAGGAAAGTGTACAGGTAGGTTTTAAGTATCTTCAGAGGAGACTCCGCAACCTCTCTGGTCATTCTGACTTGTGTTTGGTGTCTGCTAGGTGTTGCTGATAGTTCATTTGACTGCTTTCAAGACACCTTGAGGAAGGCTGTTGTCTCTGTGTGTACAAACAGGACTGTATGAATGTAAGAGCAGCCTGCTGTGAGTGATGATTGTAGTGTATTAACTTTTTTTTTTTTCTTCACAAGCAATAGGATTACGTTTATTTGTACAGGAATAGCTATTTACCTAGTAGCTTGCAAAGGGATAAAAAGAGCTGAAATCTCTATCTGCAGGTGAAGTACTCAGGTGCTTAATAGTGACAAGCAGAATTTGGCCTTAGGTGGCTTTAGGTTGCTGGTCCTTTAACGTATGGAAATGTGCTTTTCTCCTGATACCTCCAAAGTGTAATAACTGATTTGTGTGTGGATTTCCTTTATTTAAAGATTAAGAGCTCTCAAGTATGTGTATTAAGTAAGATAGGCAGACATAAACAGGAATGTGAAAAATCTGTTTAAGCAGAAATCTGAAAAAGCAAGTTGAAAGCCACTGCTGAATGATCAACAGCACATCTCTGGTACTTTGTATTCAGACACTGGGTTGGTTTATGTTTGTGTTCTTTAAGATAAAGTGCTTACCTTGCAAAATGAATACTGTTTAGAATTGCAACTTAGTTAACTGGATTTCTTAACTTATTTAAACTGGATTTCTGAAAAGTAAATAGTAGTAAGAACACAATGCTTATTGTGAAGTCTTCCTAATTCTGTAGACAATAAGTGTAATTTTAAAATCATATGTCTGTTTTTCAGGAGAAACTGTAGAAGGCCTTCGAGAGAGTGATTACCTCCTGATTCATTCGTGTCGGCAGTGGACAACAATTACAGCTCACAGTCTGGAGGAGGGCCACTACGTCATAGGGCCAAAGATAGAAATCCCTGTACATTATGCAGGTAAAGCTGCTGTTAACCTGAAAAACAAATTTCAAGAGAATGAATTGCCTACCACTTAAGTTAATCACTTTAGTGGGTAGAGTGAAACTAAATCTTCAGTATCAGTGACTGTGAATTATCTTTTTAGTAACACTGCAGAGCTCGGGATAGTGATATACACCCAGGGCTATTAAACAGATGTTTCATTGGGCAGCATGTTGACAGAATGCATAGCGATGTAGAAGAATCTCAGTTTTGAGTATAACAAATTGCCAGCCTTTGTCATCTGTGAACATGGTAGGGGAAGTTTGAAAATGCTTTGAAATGATCAATCAGAGATGGAATGAAGTTTGCACTTAATTACATACTCAAGCTGGAGGGAGGTTTTAATGTTTCTGTGTTGAAAGCCCAAGAGCTTTCAGAACAGCACTGCAGTATTACATTGGTGCTTTTCATTAGTTCTTTGTTGCTGTCTGCCTTTTTGGATGATGCAGTAGTACCGTTGTTCAAAGTAGGCAGGTATGGTTAGATATATGGCAGAGATATAGCTCATCAGTGTTTATTTTGTGACTTAAAAAATTAGCTTTACTTTCCAAAGAAAGTATTTTTTCATTTTTATTTTAGTACTGTTTCTCACTGCTTAGTATCCTTATTCACATGCTAAATAGAACAGTACTAAATGAATGGGAAGTACCTACCCTGCTGCAGTTACAATGCACACTTGAGCTTTTAAAATTTTTGTAAGTAAAAGAGCTGGCTATAAAGGAAATATGTGGGCTTAGTACTCTGCTTTCACTTTGTCTTCTGAATAGCCACTTGTCAGTTGAGTAATCTACATAGCTCTGTTACTGTCTCATTTTAAATCTTGCTGTAAAGAGGTTGGGCTGAATTGTACAAGAGTTGACTGAGATGTTTTAATCACAGTGCTGCTACAACAGCACCATATTGCAGTGATGGAACTTAATGTTGTTCCGTTTTTGAGCTGACTTCTGGAAGCTTAATTCTAAGATGTCTGAAAATTTCAGACCAGTGAATTTATTAATTAATTAACACATTTAACTTCTTCAGTATAAGTAGTTTCTAGAGCTTGTTCGTAGTAACAGCGTTTTTTACATCTCCTGACTCCATAAACTTCAGTGCCATGGCCAGATAAACACTTCACTTCCTTCAGACTGAATGGTGCTTTATAAAATCCTCATTGGCCTATGGAAGGAGAGCAGCAAATATCCTGGTTGTTGGCATGGAGGAAGATTGGACTCTTAAAAGGTTTCTTAAGCTTTGTTATTAATTTTTAAAGATATCTATATGAATTCAAAACCTGTCCCCTACGATACTGCAAGTGCCTTGATGTACTTTTCTTCTTGACTTTTGTTAACACAGGACAAGGGTGTGTATTTAGTTGACAGAACACATTTTGCTGTCAAACAATCATCTCTAGAAGGTTCTGTGACGTTAAACACCTCACTAATGAGATGAAAATACAGGCAAGTTCACAAATTGCTGTTTAGTGAAGATACTTAGTAAATATCTGATGGACTCTGCTGCCAAGGGAACTTCACAAGACTGATGGGTGCTAACTTGCAGTGTCAGAGCTCGTGAAATAGGTTAACTGTGAGAAAGGAGAGACTTATATAAGGATGTGAAGGCTTAGCTAGAAAAGTACTTCAAACTAGTGCTTGGATGCTAACATCTAAAAGCATTTTGGGAGATCTTCTGTGTACCAAAAAACAAATTTATGCTGACATGATGCCTGATACAGCTGTGTGAGGCGGCGCAGCGCTGCATTGTGCCTCATGGCATGCTTTTGTAACTCAGAACCCCACGTGAAGGTGACATTCTTCAGTGTTAGACTTGTACTCCCTGATGCAGTTATACTTCCTGCTCAGGAACTACCTTGGGTATCTGCTGTGCTGTAAGCAGTTTAGAAGTCTGGGCGATGGGAGCGCTCCAGAATCATTAGCTTCTCAGAGGAGGATGTGCTGCTGCCAAAAGGTAGGCTGTTCAGCTGGCCAGGGCCCTAGGAACTTGCTGGCACAGCTCTCCATTTGCATCCAAGAACTTTCCATCTTTGTAGAACACACAAGTAGAACAACTGACAGACTGTATTTATGGAGGTCAGCCCTAAGTTTTTGGTTTTACAGGTAGGATTTTATTTGTAAACTTCATTGCTGTCTGAGGACATATTTACTTATTTACTGACAAGTTTTGTATTGTATTGCTGCTGCTTCTTTTCCAGGTAGTAACTTTAAACTTCTGTCAAGTAAGACAATTTTGTGAACATGTAATTGGCATTGCTTCTTATACTGCCATCCAGAAAGGTCTGTGGAGTTTGAACATAACTGTTCATGAAAATGATTTTTTCAGTTTTAATGAAATAAATTTTATCTTTTCCCCCACAGTGAAGTTTTAAAGTAGCAGATTTCAGCATGATTTTGGTTGCTCATGTTGAATAGAAAGGGAATTTGAAACTGATTTTATTCTTCTGAGGTTTGTGTTTACATACTGCAAAGTCATCACTCACATATATGAATACTAGTATAGCATAAATCTGATTTTGCTACTTAATAAAATCAGATTTTGATACACTTATTAAACCTAAATGCAATAAAGCCTAGTTAAAGAAGGAAAAGGCTGTATTTTACATTTATGTGAAATCTCATTACTGCAACCTCTGTTCTGTAGTACTGCTAGCAGGAAGCTACTACCCTGTTTGTTGCTGTTCAGTGGGATGTCTGACATGGTTAATTTTTGCTATTCCTGTCAGACAGCACTCATATATGACAGCTGTTAGTCTTAGAGTATTCTCTCTTGAATATTCTTTCCAGTCTGTTTCTCTTTAGCTAAAGTTAATGTAGCATTGAGATAAATTTTCATGTAATTAAAAACAAGTGGTTAATGTATTTCTGGTTCCTACAGCAGAAGAGGTCATCTTGTACTTAGGATGAAGAGTAGATGAAAGTTATTGTCCTGATAGAGTCCTGTCTTGGTGTAAGAGATTAGATGATCTTAGAGGTCTTTTCCAACCTTAATGATTCTGTGATAAGAACGCAGATGTCAAAGGCCTCCCAAATAAACCATTGCTGCTTACAGGCTCGAGTGTCCTTTCCTTTTGTCAAGGCCTATTTATTGACATTTGATACATCTAACAAATACATCTTACCTGCTCTCAGTTTGAGCTAGCTTTGTGTTTCTGGTACTATATTCCTAATATCAAATTTCTGTTCTAGAAAAGAGTGAGCATCATCTACACTCTTCAAACGCTGCCATTGGTTTTGATTTAGGCTATGCTGTGAACATTATCTTGATGAGTGTCTCCTTCAGTAACCTCTGGAAAATATGGTATGATCTGAATTTGATATCTTGCAGAATTAAACTTCACTGTGCTGCTTCTTGTGGAGGTGATGTCTCATGTTCCTCTGTAGCTGTGTGGAAAGATGCAGGCATTCGTGACCGCTTTTCACATGTATGCTACCATAACTGAAAGTGATTGAAGCTGCCTTCAGCACAGGGCTTGAACACCATGCCCCTCAGATGTTGTCTAACCCTTGTGTTACATTCCAGAGTTACAGAGTTTGAAACTGAGAAAAGTGTTTGGGAGGTTTTATCAGCCCAAGCCACAGAGATCTTCTGCTCTGACCGAAGAGGCTGAGTTCTGGCAGTTGTGTATGCTTGCGCTATGTGACTGACTGCAGCTTGTTCTGGGGACAGATCAATGCTTTGCAATGGGATGGAGCTGGCTGTGGTTTCTGAAACTTGCAGTACAGGAAAAGCAGCTCAAGGGGCTGTGCAGCAAGCCAGTGTGCTTTCAATGTTGCCTGTGTAGCACAGCGTTTTCTTCCAAAGGCTGTACTGTTGTTTGTGAGCAGAGCAGATGCAGTGATAGAAAAAATGCTTTGGGATGAGTTGGCAGCATTGGAGTTCCTTTGCCCCAGATATTTGCTCCAGTTTTTAATCACTTCGCAACAGGATCTTACTATTGCTTTTAGCACTTTATCTCTGTTTTGCGACTCATAGTTTATTTCCACTCTTGTGGTGTCTGTTGGAGGCTTTTTCCCTCCTAAGAGCAAAGCTGTTCCCTCTAAATGATTGTTATTAGTATTGTTGCTTGTTAGTATTGTCTAAATAAAATTGACACTCTCTCTACTTTTTTTTTTTTCTAATCAGCTTTGTCCAGGGTTTGGAGGGAAACAGCTCTTGCATCAGTGCTACTGTTGGTATGTTTATGTGAAGCAACTAGTAAAGAAAATCAACTAGTAAAGAAAATACTTCTATTAAGACACTAGAAAGTAACACCCTATTGCAGGGTGTACCCTGTTGTAACATATCCGGGGTGTTGGAAATACTCTTCCTGTGACCTCATGCCTCCCAGCCACAAAGTGAAGGTGTTTGATTACTAATACAGAGCAATCACTTGTGCCCTGTCTGGTTGCTTACCTAAGTATACCAATAGCTTTCTTAATGTCTTTAAAATGAAGAAATATAAGACCTTGTCATGTGAGCCCTCCCCAGGTGGGGCAGCTGGTGAGAATGAGTCAGAAATCTTGTCTCTGCTTTTTAGAACCAGTAAATGAACATCCTACTGAAACCTGTTTCTACTAGTTGGATTTGTTAATCACAGAGCAGTGCCTGATAGGCCTGTTCCTCGCTGCATCCTGTTAACGAGGAGGAAGACACTCTGCGGGTCTTCTCAAGAGAGAACTTGCCTGTGCAGCTGAGGAGCAGGAGACATTAATAGTATGCAGCAGAAGCAGTTTCCATCTCCTGTCTCTAATACAACTATGCAGTGCTAGCTGTCCCACTGTTGCCTGCTCTGGGGTACTCGCAAGTTGGACAAACGGAGGGGGGTGCTGAAGTATGGTGCAAGTATGGCATCTCCCATCTGTCTTCAGATGTTGGCAACAGCAGCTGTTGATCACCCTTGTATCTCTTCCATCCGAGATGTGTAGGAGAGTGGCAATGCAGAACACTGTTAGATGTTTAGTAGTATGTTAGCTTTTTTCAGAGTATGCTTACCATGTGGC